TTAGGGTATCTTAGAGTCGCCTCTCTCTCTCTCTGTCTTTGGCAGTGGCAGTGGCAACAGTTTGTGGCTTTGTTTTGACTTTTATACTAAGTTTGTGTTTACTGCTGCTGTGCTCGTTATATTTATTTGCTGGTGTGTTGCCACAAGCGGTACTTAAGTGTGTTTGCATTTGTCTATGTGTGTGTGTGTGTGTGGCACACACTTTAACCGGATTATTAATGCTTGTCTAGCTGCCGCAAATTAATCAAGTTGACCATTCATTCATTCAAAGCCCCTGTCCAGACACACTCGCAGAACGGCAGAACGGCAAAACGTACATAAGCAGAGAGCCATGAAAACTTAATTAGACTTTAGTACGGTACTCCCCCACACACACACACACACACACACTTGCACACACATCGTGGAGCGGCGACTCCCATCAGTCACTGCTTTGGTGCTTTCGCCACTGCTTCTACTGCTTCTTCTACTGCTTCTGGGTCTCTGTGCCCATCAGCTGGAAAAGTGTCCGCTTAACGTTCGCTGCTGCCGCTGCCGCTGCTGCTGCTGCTGCTGCTGATTCAATGTCCTGTCAACCTGTTATGTTATGAGCAAAGCTGATTGCTCCTGATTGATGTAGGTCGCCGATGATTCGTTTTCGTTTTCGCATTGATTTATTGGCCGCATTAGCGGCATCCGTTCTCGCCTAGCCATTAGACAGGCCACTGCTGGCCATCAACAAACAATCAACTTTTGTATCTTTATCTATGGGTCCAAGAGCGCAGAATGTTGACATCATCAAACGATATGGGGCCATGCCAAAGCAATGTCATGACTTAACTCTTTTTGGGGACACAAAATAGATTCTCGGCTAAGGCACACTGCGAGAGAGAGCGAGAGACCTCGGTAGGTACGTGTTCAAATCCCAAGAAGAAACCCCGTCTGTGGCCCCGTTTTCGGTTTATTAAAGCAATGATTCAATCCGCTTCTTGTCTATTCTGGCAGCTCCCCCTGCCCCAGCTGCTTTTCGGTCCATACTTCTTTTTAATTGAATTTTGGGTGAAAATTCCAGCAAAAATTCGATCACAAAATGTCAACTGTCAAAGGGTGCGAGAGGGCTGCCCGTGCCGTTCCTGGTTCCCCCGAAGCCATAGGCCCCGCTGCCGCTGGCGCTGCTGCTGCATCCACAGTAAGTTTGCTTGTTTGCTTTGATAATCCGCACACAGCTTAGATGCGACAGGACGCGACACGACGCGACGCGACGCGATGGTGGAGCTGCTCGTGGCGCTGATGTTCGACCATCTCAATCCCGCGGCAGCCCGCCCACACCGGCGGAGTGCAGGTGCCCGGAATGGTCTGACTGACAGACGGACGGAGAGACAGTGAGGCAGTGGGGCGAGTAACTTTGTTTCACCTGCAAATATTTGCTTACAAGTAAAGTAAGCTTCGCTTCCATTAGTTACCACCAGGGTCCTGGGTCTCCCTGTGTCTCCCTGTGTCTCCTCCGTTCAGACGGGGTGCTGGCTGCTGGCTGCCGGCTGCCGGCTGCTGGGTCCTGGGTCCTGGGCCTTGGCTGCAAAATGAAATTTCGGCCAATTTTCTGCGCATTAGCCGCTGGAGGAGGCCGCCAGTGGCCGCCGAGTGCAGGAGCGTAACAATATTTGTTGTCACTTTTTTATTTAATACACTTTTTGGGGACACCAGCAACAGGGAGGACGAGGAGGGCAGTGGATAGTGGGTAGTGGGGATGTCTGGGCGACGCACTGAAAGTGCGCGAGCAAACAAACCAGAGGCATTGGCCGACGAGGGGTGGCTACACTGAGGGAAAATATCCAGCTCAGAGGGAAGCTAACAATCGCATGGACTTGAAAAACGTGTTATGCGGCAGCGCCCCTCGGTTCGACCGCACAAATTCTACGTTAAAGTGGGTTTTGGGATATAGATTCACCATTCAGTGAGTTGTTGGCACGTTTTTTTCTCACTGTGTATCGTGAGCAGTACGGGGGGAGGGGAGTGGAGGAGTGGAGGAGGGGTAGGGTGCCGGCGCTGGGCAAAATGAAATCATTTTCAGGTGTAAAACGCTTCAAGTCATTTACGAGACTGGTCAGAGAACCCTGGCATCTGGTCCCCAGCAGCAGCAGCGGCAAGGGGAGCGGCAACAGGAGCGGCAGAGGCGTCACCAGCACCCAAGGCTGAAGTGGCATTCGATAAACGAAATGGCAAGCGGCAAATTTTCATTTTATTCGAGTTTATTTGGTTGGGACAAACAAACGCTGGGGCCCACAGGGCTAGGCGGGGCGTGGCAGGGGCGAGGCAAAGGGGCCCCCCAATCATTGTCACCTCCCATCCAAGGCCTGCCTCTAAGGCACGAGGCACCCGCAGCAGGCATCAGCACTCCCCTCTCTCTGCGGATCTGTATCTCATTTCGTTGCTGCCCCCATCTGGATTTGCCCGAAATTTACGCGTTCAACGTAAATTTATGCCGCTGCACCTGCTGCCCCATGCCCATGGCTGATGACCCCTGAGGCGGCTCTGAGGGGCAGCCAAAGTGAATTATGTGGCCGTGCACAAAGTTCCAACAAAACACCAGAATAAATCGAAAAACTTTTCATTTCTATTAAATAATTTATTTTCGATTTCATTTTCCTCAATTTTTTGTTTCCTCTTATTTTTCCTTTATTTTGTTTTGTTTTGGCTTTTATTTGTATTTAAATAAGTATACTTTATAAATTCACAAAGTCCTGCGAGTATATGGATATGGATATGTGGGATTTATGGAGTCGGTGACAGTATCTGGATCAAAAGAGAGAGAGAGAGAGAGAGAGAGAGAGAGGGAGAGAGAGCAGTAGTTGCCCTCAGGATACCTCTGGATTATCAGCGATTAACAGCGATTATCCTGTTACTCGTACTGATAGAATCCCACATCTCCTATTCATTCGATAGGCACTGGGACCCATCAATCAGGCCCGCTCCTGCAAATAACTCATTCACATTCCATCAGCATCGGCATCGGCATCGGCATCAATGTCTTGTTCAGGACCCACCGCCACAGCAGGTGCGGCGCATGGGGCATGGGGCACGCGGCATTCATGAATGAAACCGTGCATGACGGCGTACTTCGTTCGTAAATTCCGAAATTAGACTCTTCTTAATCATAAATCTGTCAAATCAAAATGATGGCCTTTGAATCTCAGCTGGATTACCCTTTCGTAGGGCCGGATCGCATGGATCTTATCCGAAGTTTGTTGTGGGGTGGGACACTTTTTCCGCTCTATCCAATATAAGCGCAGAACTCCTTTTCTCTCCTGGGACTCGCTCTTCCACTGCTTGGTTGCCTCATTTTGGGTATGCTTCCCCTGCTTGTTCCTATCTTTTGGTTGGAGTTCAACTGCTTTGGACTGCTCATCCACAGCTTGGTTATGTGGCTTTTCCACTGCTTTGTTCTATGGTTTAGCTGCCTTTTCCACTGCTTTGGTTCGTCGTCCATCGCCATGACGTTCCGTTGCGGCCGTTGCAGTTATTGTTGCCAGTGGCCTCCACTCCAGAGCCAGTTTGACCCCATGGGGTCAGAGGCAAGCGAAGCACACACACACACACACACAGAAAACAACAAACGCACCTGACGGATGATTCGGTTACGGGAATGGTTTCGGTTTCGGTTACGGTTACGGCTCCAAACACAGGAGCCAGTAGCCAGGAGCCAGTAGCCAGGAGTCGCAGATGGAACACAAAAGGCCTGTAATTGAGTGGAGCAGCAGCGGCAGTGCCTCAAATTTGCGACTGGCAACGCCCCACCAAACGGCAGGAGGCAGGACGTCCAGCTACCGTGGGGCCTCGTAATGAACAAATTGTCCAGCATAATCGCTGGCGCGTCAATTGAAAATGAGAATTGGAATTTCGTGCAAATATTTCCAATCCAATTTCCCATTTTACAACACACGAAACGCTCTGCAGAGCCCCTCTAGGGGTGCACCGTGCAGCGTGGGCCCTGCAGCGATGCTCCAATTCGTCATAATTAATGTGCCTGATTTGCAGAGGCACATGACCTGGCTTCCTGACTGCCTGCCTGGCTGACTGCCTGCCTGGCTGACTGGCTGAGCCAACGCTTCACGGATGGGAGATTGCGCTTCAATTTGATTTCGATTTGTTTCGGATTGCGGAGCTCTCGCTTTATTCTAATTCGCAATAAACTCGGAATTGTTTGCTCTGCGCCACTGCTCCCTGCAGCAGCCCCCCTCTGCCTCCATCCGGGGAAATGCAATTTCAACGCCCGCCCTGCGCCCTGCCCACTGCGCCCTGCCCACTGCGCCCTGCTAATCACGATCCACTTCAATCACTCACAAAGAATGTGTCCACCCTGTACCTGCAGCCTCGATGGGGGGTTTTGCTTTCGAGCTTGAACCAGAAAGATAATACCTGTCTATCCATATATCCACTGTGATAAGCCGTTCTGTGCTAAGCCTTCCCCTCGAATACATGCCTGCCAAACGGGGTATCCCCCAAGTCGCAATCATTGCCGTGAAACCGTGACCTCCTGTTTCCAATTTTGTTGTTTTTCCCCCTTTTTTTTGGGTCTTGTTTTTGTTTTTTGTTGATCTTTCAGTTTCAATTAAGTAAACAGAAATCAGTGCAGTTGATTTGCGAAATTAGTTAGCGATAAGAATGTGCAAACACAATTCATATGCGATGCCTAGGCCAGTTTTTGCACATTAAATTTTCCATTTTCCATTTTCCATGGCATTAGGGATTGGATACTCGTATGCACAGGGCAGAGAGAGCGATAACCGCTTTGTTTATGCCATATATACAAATTCCTAATGAGAGTAGCAGCCATGAATCATATCTGGATACAAATATCCAATAGCCCAGGCGATCCAAGGGTTGGGCATGGACCCACAAGGAACAGGGTCTCTCTTTTGAGAGAGATCCAGGGGATAGAGGGCTCTTCCAGAGTCTGCAATTCTTCCCTTCTCCCCCGTTCAGTCTCCCCCAAGAGGCAGGAAGTAGAACGAGACTAGAGATTCAACTTTCACATGGAAGATGGCCTTTAGAGGGAGCATTTCGAACAAGAAAACGCGACAGAAAGAAGTTGCTTTGCAGGACTCGGCTCCCGTCCCATGTTTAGCTGCAATTTCCAGAGCCAACCAGAGCCAACCAGAGCTAAGCTTCCGATTCGTCCTCCTCCTTCTCGATGGGTGCCCTGCCGATGGGCAGCAGGCGCAGCGGACGGTCTGGAGGGCAGATCGAGGCCCCATGCCCACGGCTGGTACCGCTCCTGCCGGTCAGGGCTGTCTCGGAGCAGGAGGCCTTTGCCTTGCTGACTTCTTTCTCCCTCTTGTCCTGCTTGATGCTGGCGAACAGCTCCATTACAGTGGGCCCCGTAGAGGTCCCCCTCTGGCCGCCCAGGGTCTGGTTCTGCTTGAGCTTCTGCAGGGTGAAGCAGAGCTCCTGGAAGCCGTGGACCGTGTGGTAGTTGCTCTGCAGATGCTCCCTGATGGGCATTCGGTCCATGCCGGGCGACCAGGTGTTCTGGTACTGCGGCGCCTCCAGGTCGATGTCCGCACCGAAGTCCAGCTGGCTCTGGCTCCGCTCGTCCCACCGATTGATGGCCTCCTGGAGGGCCGGATCCCGGTGCGCCGCCCGGCGGGCGGTACGGATGTCGTGGCGCCAGAACTGCTGGTTCCGCTGCACCGCCGGCGTCACCTCCTTGATGAGCAGCACGATCACGCCCGTCACCCAAATGCAGACGACATTCACGAGGGCCAGGGCCATGCTGACCAGAGCGCAGACCAGCAGCTCGGTCTCCAGGTTGTTCGAGTACTCGTGGTGCTTGCCGAGGCTCTGGATGAGCTCGTGGTCGCGGTGCAGGACCCGAGCGCCCAGGGCCAGGGCGAACAGCAGGCCCGCGTTCACCGCCGGCGGCAGCAGGGAGGCCGAGATGGCGACGCCCGCCAGGGAGCCCGTGTTGCCGCCCAAAACGGCGATGGCTCCCGCGGCGCCCGAGACCAGGGCCGTCATGATGCCAATGGCCAGGGCATGGATGGTGCAGCGCGAGACGATCTCCTCGGTGAGGCCCGAGCCGATGGCGAAGAAGGGGCCCAAGCGGAACACGAGCACGCCGAAGATGAACCCGATTCCCGCCGAGACGGCGATGCCGATCAGCTCGTTCTTGAAGCCCAGCCACCAGAGGCCCCGGTCGCCGATCACCGACCCGAAGGTGCCGGCAATGATCGGCCCCATCAGCGGCGAGATGAGCATGCTGCTGGACAGCAGCAGGTAGCTGTTCCCCACCAGACCCACGCACGAGATCAGCGCGGCGGCCACCAGCAGCACCACAAAGTCCAGCGTGAGGGCGGCATCGTTGCGCACCTGTCGCACCACCTGGTTGACGTTCAGGCGGCACCTCACCGAGTCCATGAACGTCTGCCAGCCCTGGCCGCTCGTCTGCTCGTCCGCCTCCTCCTCCTCCGAGCCACGGATCAGCGTCTCCACACTGCCAGTGCCAGTGGCAGTGCCTGTGGCAGTGCCTGTGGCAGTGCCTGTGGCGGGGGCGGTGCCTGTGCCTGTGCCGGTGGCCCCCTGTCCCCCGCACTCCTGGAGGCTGCTCAGCAGTCGTTCGTGCCGCTCAGTCTGCAGCCGCACCTTCTTCTCCATCACCCGCAGGCGGTCCAGGGTCGCCGCCAAGGCCCGCCTGGTGCAGCTCTTGCGGTGCCGGTGCCAGGTCGCCTGCGTCACCGAGGCGGGGATCTTTAGCTTTGGTCCAGGCCGGTCCGAATAGTGGTTGGAGGACCTCTGCTCCTGCTCCTGCTCCGCCCGCGCACTCCTTGGCATGGTTTATCGCTCTGTATGTGTGTATCTGTGTGAGCGTTTGTTGTTTGAGCGTGTTTTCAGTGATGCCTGGAAATTGTAGTGTACAAAAAGTGCCTACAAAGGGGTCTGGAATGAATATTTATATCGTAAGTAAATCAAATCAAAACTATCCGATTATTCCTTACAGAGAGGCTCGTCCCCGACGATCGGCGTACGGCATATCTTTGTGTTTCGTCAGATTTCTATGGGACCTTTGGAGGGGCCCCTCCAGGCGCCTGACTCGAGACTCCGACCCTTCCTTGGATATCCAGCTATGATACGACATTAATTTGAATTGAAAGAAGAAAATATTCACTTGTATCATGCGGGGTCTTATGAAGGGGCTCTTCCTTTGCATTGTCAATTCGTGCATTTCCTTGAGCCAAAATCGCTGGTAAATTAAGTAAATTCCAATTGAAAGAGACCAAGGAGAGGGTGCCGGAGGAGTAGGTCACCCCATCGGATGCTGCTTCCTGCTGAGGCATACATTTTCCTTTTCCTTTGCCTTTCTATTGTTGTATTTTATTGTTTTGTTATAAACAAAACTATAAAATTGTTATGGGGGAGGGGGGGAGCTCCATTTATCATCAAAAAACTTTCATAACTTTTGCCTCGGTCTCAGGACTCGCCAAGGAGCCGCCATTCCGTCAGTCACTCCATCTGTCCATCTGTCCATCTGTCTGTCTGTCAGTCAGTCAGTCAGCCAGGCATTCACTCTTTCCAGCATCTGGCATCTGGCACCTGCAGCTGGAGCTGGAGCTGGAGCTGGATGGATCCGCTCAATGCCTCCGCCAGCGATAGATATTTGCATACAATTCTCCAACTTTTATTCTCACTCATTCACTGAAACAACTCAGCCATGGATCTCCGCAAAATACGAGCGAGCGACAGAGAGAGAGAGAGAGGAAAACTTCTTCATTTCTCCAACACTTTTTCCCTCTTAATGGGTGCTGGAAAGGGCCGTGGGGGGGGGGGGAGGCTTTAGGGCCACAACTTTCGTTGCAGTAAAGGAGGGAAGGGGGGGAGGGGGGGGGGGGGGGCATTGGGGACCCTTTTGTGAGTGAATTTAATTAAATTTATGAAAAATTTACATATTTATTGGTTTAAATGGCCAACAATTTTTCCCACTGCCACATACGCACGGAATACAGTGCGTAACGAAATTCTATGAGCTGACAAATTCCTGTTATTTTTGTTGGTTTTTTTTTGCGGGAAGCCCGAGAAAACGTTTTGAGGATTGCCCTGCCTGCCATTCGAGGACGATTGTGTTCTCAGTTTCAGCCTTATAGCCATGAACCGCACTGAGTGCATGCTGAATATTCATGAAAAAAAAAAAAACAAAACAAAACAAAATCTCGTGTGTGTGCCCCACTTGGAGGGGAAATAGTTTTTTGGAAATGCAAATAATTTTACAGGAAGGGCAATGGGAGGCCCAACGACGGGTCCAAAGTGAGTTGTGAGTAGTACTCATTGGCTATTCACAGAGCCCAAAAACTTGTCCACTTGTCCACTTGTCCACTTGTCCACACAGAGAGACACAGATCTTGATTGCCCGACTCGAGAGGAGGAGCTTCTCTCTCCGGGTCTCACAATCTGAAATACTTTCACTTTCAGAGCCAAAAAGAGTCTCCATCCAATCACATTTAATACATATACTAGCTAAAGCAAGGGTATTAAGACTAAGTCCGCGCTCAGCCGATTGCTCTTCAGTTTCAAATTTGAAATTTCAAATTTCCATCAAAGGGACGGACGGACTGTTCATTGACGGACTTATCTCTGGTTATCCGTTTCTCGATTTATAAATTCCCATTGTTTCAAAATTAAATTGTTTGCGCGCGTGTGTGTGTGTGTGTGTGTGTGTGTGTGTGTGTGTGGGGGTACGCTGCAGGCACAAACAAAAGCCAAAGTCAAATCAAATGAAATCCGGATAAAGCGACAGCAACAGCAGCAGAAACCCTAAATGAATTCAAGTTCTATTGACATTTCAAACTAAAATCGAAAGTTTTTGTGCATCGAATGCCCGTACAGGTGCAGAGGCGGCTAAATACATGTACATATATATATATACATATATATATATGGTTGGTGACCAGTTTTGCTGATTCGCACTCGGATTCCATCTGTCCATCGGCGGGCGGGGTGTCAGAAGATCGGGCACAGCTACTGACCTCTTCTGCTGTACAGATATCATCCTCGCACTCAGATACTCCTACCATCCCATGGCTGCAAGCCAGATCGTTGGCAGCAAAGCCTCTTTCAACTGATTCTCCATCAAGTCTGTGGCTTGCATAGGTTTCGATGAATATTTCTTCTGGAATTGAATTTGAAATTTAATTATTGGATTGTTTTTTTTTTGTTTTTGGCTGGCGGGCTGGGTTTGGTTCCTGCAAGTTCTAGACACGAAACGTTAAAGTTTTCGGCCAACTGGTTTGTGTGTGTGTGTGTGTGTGTGTGAGAGTGTTCCCAGAAATGTGGTTGTTGTGGTTCACTCAGTCACGACACGAAGCCAATAAAGTTATCCACGGGCTGAAGTTCTCTCGATGGGTTCTCCAGCGAATGGGCTTGTTGATGATGCAATCTACGTTGTGGGTGCCTGTCTCTCTTGTGTCTGCAGTTGCCGATAACTGTATTATTCAATTAACACTTGATTGATATGCAAACACTGTGGGTACACCCCGAGGGTCCGATATGTCCGCATCTGGCATCTGAAATGAGCCAAGAACTTGTTCCAATCACCAGAAGCTATAAGCCATATATACATACACAGATAGACAGATAGATAGATAGATAGATAGATCCAAGGCAGATGGTACGATAGGCTGTCATGCATATGGATGGGCAGGCCATTATGCTGGGTATCGCTTGGAGCCCACATGGCGGAGCCCCTCATTGAAATGCGTACGCATGCGCCCAGCACAGCCCAGCACAGCCCAGCTCCGACTCGGCTCAAACCGGCTGCAGACTGAAACGCGATCGAATCCAGCCATATTGCCCAGATAGAGACGGAGACGGAGACGGAGCAGAGACAGAGCCCCCAGCCCAATACCAGTTCCAGTTGAAAGTGAATTGAGTTTGTTTGCCGAGCTCCGCACTCGAACGATCCATCGAACGCCGATCAGAGCTGTGGGTTTTGGCTGGAAGCGTTTCGATTACTGTATGCCTGAAAGGTACAAAATTCTGGATTAAGTGGCAGCAAAAGGTACTAAGAAGACAATCCTGGAAGGTGTTCAATGCTTACCTTCTCCTTACCCCATTTTGCGGGCACTTTTTTCTGTCTTCTAGCTATTTTCCAAAGCTCTTTTCTAGCCTTTTTTCCAGCTGTGTTCCCAGAGAGCATCTCTGGCTTCTCTCGAAGCCACTCATCGGCCGAGTGCTCTGAGGCTCTAACTTGGCCAAGTGGCTGGCCACTCAAGTGTTGGCTTCTTGCAATTTGTTGGCCCAAGTCTTCGATCAGTTGGCGGTTTGCATTTGCTCGCGGCGGACGTCTCTCTCTCCCTCGCTCGCCCTCTCGTCCTGTCTCGCTCTCCCGCTGTTTCGCTCGAATCGAGATCGAATCGAATCGAGACCGCTGTTGAATCGATACCACGTTGCAAAGACAAGACAGTCGCCCAAGACAGAATCGAATCGGTGTGTGGAAGCTTCAAGATGCAACTGCAGCATTGTCTAGTCGCTGCAACGCTGCTCGTTGTGGCTAGTGTGAACGGTAAGTGTCCTGGGAGCAGAAGGAGTCGCCACACACCATCTGGCTAGCGTTTCCGCATTCGTTGCATCCATATACGAGTACATACATATACCCCTATATCATTATTTTTTTGTTTTGTGGTCAGTTTTTTGTTACTGTGTGTTCGTGTTTCGATTGCAAGCGAAATAAAGCCAAAAGAAAGCCCCCCCCCCCACACCCGTCTCTCTCTCTGAGTGGAGTGCCTGCGGGGCCTGCTTCCTGTACGACATCGAATTAGGTAACATGGAAGATGATGGCATCTCGTCTGGCAGTCTGTCCAACTGGTTTTACCCCCCACCCAGCCGCTGTGCAAGGTCAGCGCTGTCCTGGCCAGCTCGTAGCTGGCCGGGGGGCACTTGGACTCTCATCTCCAGCCAGGCCGCATCGCTCTTCCTTTTACGTAATCGGCAACTGCCGGACTGACCTCCAACTTGATTAGCGGCAGCTTTTGCAGATAGTTGCTCATACTAATTAACGATTCAGCCAGAGGCAGCGCCAGCGGCAGCGCCAGCGACAGCGGCAGCGACAGCGGCACACATTTACATACCTCGCGGATACACACGGATATCGGAAATATGTATCTGCCAGATTCATGAACTTCATGAATATGCAAATCTGATCTGTCTCTCTGTCTGTCTGTCTGTCTGTCAGAGCAGTACACACACACACACACACACACACACACACAGAGATTTTCATGGTCAACTTTTGCTTTCGTTTATTTGCCTATCCGCCTACTTTTATTTGCATCGAACTCCCCTCGTAATCAATCCATCCTATACTCATGTGTACCGTTCAATATATGTATGTACCTACTAAATACGAGTATATGTGTTAAATTTCTTCTTTCGATTTCACTTTCTTTTGTGCCGCCTCAGCGGGGCTGCCGACTGCCTGCCTGCCTGCCTGCCTACCTGCCTGCCTTTCTGGCTTACAAAACTTGTTTCGAGCGGCGCTTATTGCCTGAATTATGTAAACGTTAACGTAAAAACTCTGAAAAAATGTAAAATGTAAATTGTAAATGGCTGCTGACACCGTAACAGACAGTGGGTATTGCGGACAGGCCAGACGGGAATGCCAATCTATGTATAACAGAAGCAGCACAGAAGAGGCAAGAAGCACGGAGCAGGGGGCACGGGCCAGAGCGAGAGAGAGACACATAGAGAGAGAGAGAGAGCTTCATTTATGCAACTTTTGATTGTGACATTGATTTTGCCTTTTGGTTTTCATTTAAATATTATTTTGCCATCGAATCGAGTCGCATCGCATCGCATCGCATCTCCTCAACCGAAAAGCCAGCATCGAAAGCATTGCATAATTGACTTCTTGTACCCTACAATCAAAGAGGGGCATGTGCCAGAAGCCAGTAGCCAGAAGAGTACACTCTATACGTATATATTATTGAGCTAATTTCCGTCTGTTTCTCAGTCTCATATCACAAGGAAATAATCACTATTATAGCCGGAGAATGGCTATAGTAAGATTTATTTGAAATTTGTATCCCTGAGATCCTTCTAAATGTTACAGTAATAAAAGTACATCCTTCTTAGGGGTCTCCTTGTCTTGGATACACTTCTTTTTTGCTGTCTTTTGCTTTTAGCGAAGCATATCGTTGAGGTACTCGATGATAAAGTTATATATGTTGCTCTTTTGGTCTATAAACAGCCCATTATAATCACAGTGGAGCGTCACTGAGACGAGCGGATCTTTGGTGTTCTTGCACGGCACCGGGGCCATGGTGTAGTTCAGCTGCAGGGCGGCCAGCAGGGCCTCGGCCTGTTCCTTCTTGGTCTCAAAGTCCTTGGAGTTGATGACCTTAAATGCAGCCTCTTTGAGATCTTTGGGAAATTTAAAAAAATAATCATCTTGCAAGAGGTGGGTGCGCACGCCGTATGAGGTGGGGCCGGGGTCGGGTATATTTCGCCCATAACGAGGCTCCAGCTTGAGGGAATTTCCGCTGACTGTCTTCTCAGCAGCCTCCTCATACGGATACGGACTCCTGTTGTTTCCCAGGCTCTCTGGAGCTTTCTTTCGGATGGTGGATGGGTTGGGCTTGACGTGCATAAGAGGAGGTACCTTTGCCTCAGCCGTACACTTCAAAGTCTGCTGATTCTTCACAACAGGACCGACATCCGGATACGGCAGTTCGTAGATTCCAAGGCTCGCTGGAGTCTTCTTCGGGATGGGGATGGACTCTGCGATGGGTTCTACGATGTGTTCTGCGATGGGCTCTGCGATGGGAAGTGGCTCGCCTTCGATGTTGGTCGCCACGAGGACCAGGAGGTCGCGCAGCTTCTTGCGCTGCTTGAGGCTCAGCAAATGGTCCTCCCCGAACAAGGCAAGGGCGCTGGTGGCCATCATCGGCGAGGCATCGGACTGGTTCAGGATGGCACTGATCACCGGTATCTTGAGTATCTTCTTCCACACGCACAGAGCCGCCACCTGTTTGGCCATATTCTTCGAGGCGCCTGAAAGAAAGCAAGTGATAAGCGTGCAACAGCATTCTTGCAACCATGTTGCTACGTTACCCTCGCCAGTGGCAGACACATCTTTCAGCTTCAGCATACAAAAAAAGCCATTGCGCTTCGGAAGCACTTCGTACGTGGCCAACGGCCATTTGAATTTCGCGCAGAACTCATTCAAAAAGGCTACCATACAATTTTGCAGATTCATGGTGATTCCTCTATACATTCATGTAAATATTGGAACAAGTTTTAGGTTATGTTGTTGTGTCAAAAGTAAGGAACTTTAACTTTAACTAAGGAACTAAGGTGGCCTTCCATCCAGTGCTGCCAGCTTAGCAATTTTGTTCTGAGCAAATTCTGGCAGAACTGCTTCCATCAGTCATTCGTGTGGCTTAAGCCAGTGTTGATTAATGCCTCATGCTGCGACACATACCAAGGCCAAATCTCATTCTCCGCAAAATGAAAAGCCAATTAAGAGAAAGAGCGCCACACACACACACACACACACACTCAGTTCAGCCTGTCTCCAGTTCTAGTCCTCTGTTTCGGCCGTTTCCTGCCGGGGAGGGAGAGAGGAGAAAGGAGAAGATTATCCTCCTTTACTCCGCTGCTGTGCGCGCAGGCCAGAGCGAAAGAAATCAACATAATTTAAAAATACATTAAATCCGAATCGCAAAGAACAAAAGAAAGGATGGATACCACCACTCGCTGGATGGGCGGGGCAGGCTGTGTGCCTGGCAGTCACATGAGCCATTTAAACGCAAATTTGTTGACAAAGGCAAGTGGCTTTGGCCATTACACACTCGAAAAGTGAATGCCGAGGTTTTACCTCACCCCCCCCTACCCGCACTCTCTGCCCCCATGCTGTCTCTCTTTGGGGCTAACCAAATCGGCATTATTTACAATTTAAGTGTTGTAAATGCAGAAAAGCAGCAACAGAAACACTCACAGAGAGCCACAGAAAGGGAGCGACTGTGCGAATACCCCCGGGTGGATGGGTCTTTTCGGGGAATCACAAAATTAATACCACAAATTAAAATACTTCAATTTCACTTCGAACTAGTACAACTTCAAACGCGAGTATTTATTCATTTAATCATGAATTATGATAAGATCCCGCGCTGGACGGCCGTCATGTCAGAAATATCATATGGCAACTGAATCGAACTTATCGCCAAGCAACTCAGAAGGCGACCAAATTTAATCTGTATTTAATAACGAGAGGGAGAGAGAGAGAGAGAGGGGCAGTGCACTGCTTGCCTCTCCAGCACTCGGTGTCTGCTGTTTCCTGCTGCGAGAATGAGCACAGAGCAACCGACTCTTGGTGCTCTTGTGAGAGAGAGAGAGAGAGAGAGCGAGTGAGAGAGAGAGCCCTGAAAGAGACTGAGAGGTAATTGGAGCCTCCATCGTCAGAGCATGCACGAGTGCGAGTACGTAATTGATCGTCGAGTGAAATGTGAGTGAAATTTTCTGCTGATTTGCAAAGAGGGGCGCGATCAGCAGGCAGGCAGACCCGTTGCTTGTTGTGGCTTTGTTTACGTGGCTGCCGATGTTTATAGAATGGGAATGGGCAGGGGGCAGGGGGCAGGGGGGAGGGTGGAGGGGGGAGTGCAGCCAGAAGCATGGTAACATACGATTCCAATGCTCTAGCCGTAAAGTGAGTCATACACGATTTCTTTCGAAGAATATCTCGTTTGGAAAATGATAATATCCCCTCTTGGACGCGGCGGGTAATGGGTATTAAAAAATAGCAATGTTGCTAAGGGAAGCGACAAAAACATTTAAGCAGCTTAACACACACTCTCGCACAGAGAGGCAGAGCGCGCGAGAGAGAGACACAGCGAGTGAGTGAAAGAGAGAGAGAGAGAGAGAGACAGGCACACATGGACAGGCGTGAAAAATGAGGCGCAAAGCAGCCACAGAAATGCGTGAAAAATTACTTGAAAATGCTACAACGGATAAAAAGAAACAACAACAACAACAGCAAAGGCACAGCCGAAAACCGTTTAACCAAAAACAAATACAAATACACTGGCATCAAAAGCAGAAAGACACAGAGAGAGACAGAGAGAGACAGAGAGAGAGAGAGAGAGAGATTGTGTGCGAAGGAGATGGCCAGAGACAGAGCGAAAGGTGTACAGACAATGGCCAGACAGAGATAGCCGCTGAATGGGAAATGTTTTAAGTGAAAGAAAATGAAATAAAAAACGAAGCGAGGCGAGGCGAGGCGAAAGGAAATGGAGGTAAGAGAGGAGGTAAGGAAATTCAGGAAAGGGAATGGAAGGGAAGGAGCAAAAGCTGCCGTGAGGGAAATGCAATTTAAGCTTTTCTTTCTGAAAACCCAAAGAACACACCTCGCATTCATTCGAAAAGGTACATATCCTCAAGCGTATCCTTGGAGAAATAATAATCACAGGGTAACAAGCGCTTCCAAGACATTCGATTTACAATATGGGGAAGAGGGTTCTCGCCATTCAAAAAGATACTTGGAGAGATACAAATTATAGATTTGAGAGCACTTCGAAGTGAGTGATATGTACCCTGCATTCATATGCACTCATGAGTATCAGATGGAGGCAAATGATTGCGCATTCCCTTGCCTTGCCCCTGCCTTTTTCCCCGTTTTCTTTTGCCTTTTCCTCTTTTGCCCCTTTCGGGGAAAATGGGGAAAAAACGGTACTGAAAATGCACGAAAACAAAGAGCTGCCGAAGCCCAGACCCAGAGAAAAATATGCATATATATTTTAATGATTCACAGAAAACAGAAACAGCGAGCAGACGCGACTGATTCACTGGCCAGGCGCCCACTACAGGAGTTTTCCCGGGATATTTTTGCATTCAGCTAGGACTATCCATAACATGGACCTCCTATCATGAGGGTAGGAGGCCGAAGGGAGGATCATATCATCGTATTTAATTCATTTTGAAGTGAAAAATCGACTAGTTTATGACCTTCGCTCTGTCTGTGATCTCAAGTGGTTTCTTAAGTGACCTTTTCCTATGAGTATCGATGAGTAAGGGCCATCAATCGATGCTTCCCATGCTTCGTGTGTGCAGGATATTCATTGATTCAAGTGTTAGAGCCCGATGGCCTGCTGGTTCCCGAGACCTAGAATCGTAGGAATGATTCTCTGGGTGTTCCTTCCATATGTTTGTTGCCCTTTCCACCATATAATTTCACGCTCTCTGTTGATGCCGATCGGTGGTGGAACTGTATTTCCCCCCTTTCGCTCTGAAGAAGCACTCCCATTTATCCGCAAAGTGTTTCCTTGCAACATTCATCGCTTTGAGGCAATCTTGCTTATTGGTAGTATTCCCCGAACTTTTAGGGTGAATGACCCCCATTAGGGGAATGATGGCTCTTTGGCCACCTCTCACAATTATTATCCTCATAATGATTCCGTGCTTGTACTGCGGTTCTGCCGATTTGTGATTGATTGAAAATCATTCAAAAAAATTGAATTAAATTTGCAAACTGCAGTCGGCACTCGATTCACTCGCTGTCGCTGTCGCTGTCTCTTTCTCTGCGTGGCGCTGCGGACGGACACGTGGGTCTCTGTTTCTCCGTGTCGCTGCCATGGTTCTCGCTTTAAACTGCCGCAAAAATGTTAAATAAATTATAGCCATGCGAAAAGAAAAATCGCCACTGCAACAACAATGCAATGCCGAGGGAAAACATCAACAATTAAAAAAAGGCGAAGAAGAAAAACGCGTGGCGGGAAAACGGTGAGGGGCGATGGCAGGGAGGGGGTCTGCGGATGGGGCTGGGGGAAAAATGAAACAAGAAAAAGAAAAATTATTGCACGATGTGCATAAAATAAAACTGTTTCCGGCCTTTGGCTCGAGAGTTCCAAGGTACTTCCCCATTTTGCTGCACGGTTCGGTTCGGTTCGGCTCGCGGACACTTTAATTTGTTCCTTGGAGCGGCCCAGGACAGCGTTTTCCGATCCCTTTGAACGGCCCACCGTTTTTGGGCTTATTTTTAATTATTATTTTCCGCATTTCCGCAATTTCTCAATTAAGGGAATCGAACAAATGAACAAAAAAAAAAGCAACAAGCAAAAAGCAAAAAGCAACAAGAAGCAAAAAAGAGAAGCAGTTTCCATGTAATTGGCCTTATGACTTTTTAAATAAATGTACAATAAATTAATTATTATCATTATTTTTCCGTCTTTTCATTGCCGTGCAGTCATCGTCCCCGCAGCAGCAGCAGCAGGTATGACGATAACAGGAGGCTAACAGTGCGGCACGACAGTAACAGTAGTACAGTTGCCCCTCATGACACTAACAGCGGGAGTGTAACAGTTGTAGAACGAAGCAGAAGAACTGTAGTCCTTCAAAAGAGATCTCTAAGATCCTAGCTAACACAGAAATAACAGCAGGATGTGCAGAGTGCCCCAAATAACCCTAAAACTATTAGTTAAGCCTTGCAGACTGCATGATTGGTATACGATATTCTTAACACACACTTTCTATGCTTATTTGCGTCTGCTGGCATTTGCCTAATCAGCCAAGTCTTTGACTAACTCGTTTAACTGGAGGTTAGCACCGAGTGCTCCTTGTGGCCACAGCAGCAACTCCTTCGAAGGCCGGGTTACCGCTCAATCCTCCTCCTCAATCAATTGCCCTCCCTCATTATTATTTTTCTGAACTTTAAAGTGGCACTCCCTCAAGAGTTGAATCACTGCAAAGACACAGACTTCCCTCTCTGTCTCTCGACAATGGGGGGCTGCAACGGTGGTGGTGTAAGCCGCTTAGAGGAAGTCGCCTCATTAACTGTGACTTCTTGTAACAGTTTCTGGTAATATGGCCCCTGCTTTGAAGTGGCCCAGGGCTAGGACATTGACATGGACACGTGACGCGGACATGGCCAGATGGTGGTTGGTAGATGGTAGATGGTAGATGCTAGATGGTCTGGTTAATAAATATTAATTAGCCATAATAATTATATGAAAATGTTTTTGCTCACTCTCAGCTCTCCTTTTCCCTCCCCCTCTCTCTCTCCGCCTGTCTCTCTCTCTCTCTCTCTCTCTCTTTGGTTTTGCTATTTATCGCGGATTTTTTTTTCTGTTTTGTGGTACAGCATTTTCATTTGATTTAATTTATTTGCTATTGGCTGTTTTTGCTGGTTGGTTATTGTTTATTTTACACACACATTCCATTTAAATTAACTGGAATTTTGTTGCCATTCTGCGGTCCACATACATATTGTATATATGTATATTTTGCTAAAAATCTGTGCTATTAGCGGATGTTCCTTTCAGGTTGGGGGCTGGCAGAACGTAATGATTCCTTCCTTTTTTCGTGTGCTCAAGCCCGGCCCGGCCGATCGAGATGGCATCCATCCATCCACACACTACAGGCCTCAGCAATTTTCTATATATTTATTTATGTGTTTGTTCGATGAGCATTAAAGCCTTTACTTTTAAAGCCATTCACTTAGCACTAATCGGTATCAAAAATATCAGTTCGAGAGGCATCGGTGCTGGGGCTACGTCCTGCATAATAAACCATATTTCCATACCGAGAGCAAAGCAAAAGGAACTAAAGAGTGTGTGTGTGTGGGATTGCGGAAAATAAATAAATAACCTGCA